GGAGGGGAGGGAGGGGAGGGGAGGGGGGAGAAGCTGTTCCTTCACTTTTTTGCCTTTATAAAGGTGACACTATGAAAGTGATGGTAACAGCAGCCAAGAAATAAACAATGGGTCCTGATAGATTCATGGGAAGATGCAGCATCCAATCTTGGGCTTTCATGTGGCAGAAATACTGGGTCTGTCACACAGCTAGAGATGAGTCCCTTCCACAAACTGCGGATTCCTACTCCATTATAATGGCACCACTACGAATAGGAATCCATGGAACTAGACAAGATTCGGTTGTGCTCTTCTCCTTTCTTCCTTTAGGCCAGCTCTCTTGCTATTGGTCTTAGGCTGCGTGTGAGGTCCTTGGTACTATGTCCCAAGGTGGTGCCAGAGGTCTCTACCCCACCCACCCGGCATGATTTGGGGGCATCCATCTGCCCCGGATGCGCTCCTCATCCCAACGAGCCCAACGAGCATCAGCCACTAGCGGCCAAGAGCTGCCTGAGTCCATCCAAGTGGCGCCCTGGACAAGACCTGCAAGCGGGGCCACAGCTCAGCTTCACGACATCACCATAGTTTGTCACGCCACCACCAGCCCGTGGGAGGGAAGATCCGAACAGAGGAGACTCTGAAGTGAGCAGGAAATTGGATCAGTCAGCGAGGACCAAGCTGCAGCGGCTCACAGCAACACACGATAATGTATTGCATTCCACATCCTGCATGGGACAGCTAGGGCTCTGTTCTGTGCCATCAGCGTGTGTGTGTGTGTGTGTGTGTGTGTGTGTGTGTGTGTGTGTGTACACATAGGAATTAAGCCCAGAACCTCACCCATGCTGGGCAAGTATTCCACTTCTACCACTGGGCCACCTCCCCAGTCCTATGCCACTTGAATTCCAGAATCCAGTCTGGAGGAACAGCTCTAATCTGGAACTTTCTTTTCTTTTTTTTTTTTTTTTTTTTTTAATTCGGAACCAGGGATTGAACTCAGGCCCTTGTGCTTGTCAGGGAAGCACTTATTCCACTGAGCCATCTCCCCAGCCCTAATCTGGAACTTTCAATCTCAAGGCAGAAGAAAGGTGCCAGCCCCCATGGAGGCTGTTAAACTCCTTCTTTAAAGTTGACAAGCCATTTTGATTTGAAGTCCATTGGTTAAAGCAAGCCGCATGTCCAAATATGCTAGCAGGAGAGAGGGAGTAGTGTGTCCATGTGACAGGGCTCCCTAGGGAGAGGCCAGTGAATATTTCTGACCAAGTGTGAGTTCTCTAGTCTTCTTTCTTAATTTTTTTTTTTTTTTTTTTTTTTTCCTGCAGAACCAGGGATTGAACTCAGGCCCTTGTGCTTGCCAGGGAAGTGCTTATTCCACTGAGCCATCTCCCCGGCGGATGGCTCAGTAGAATAAGTGCTTGCCTGGCAAGCACAAGGGCCTGTGTTCAATCCCTGGTTCTGCCAAAAAAAAAGTAACAAAATTGTCTACTGAGCCATCCCCCCCGAACCATCTTACTTTCTGTCTTTCTTTCTTTCTTTCTTTTTCTTTCTTTCTTTTGTCTTTTGAGACAGGGTCTCACAATGCAGTTCAGGCTGGCCTTGAGCTCACTTTGTAGCCCAGGCTGGCCTCAAACTCCCCACACTCCTCCTGCCTCAGCCACCACGCCTGGCCTGATAATCTTATCAGAATTACTGCCTGTGAGATTTTTTCCACATACAGTACAAAATAAATGTACCTGCTTCCCAAAGCTAATCATGGCATTAAGTATAGGTCCAAGCTTTCGAATAGTCTTTATGTCACGTCGAGATGTGATGTCCATGGATCCAGAGGCCTATGAAAAACTATGACAGAGAGGCACAGACAGCTCCACAGACAGACATGGCTATAATCCCAGCCACCTGAGAGGCTGGGGTAGGGAGAGCCACAAGTTTGAAGCCAGCCCAAGAGACTCAGCAAGAACCTGGCCCCCAAAAAATCTTTAAGAGTTGGGATGTATCTCAGTGATAGAGCATTTGCCTAGTGTTCGAGGCCCTGGGTTCAAGCTTCAGGATAAAACCAAAACGTTATCTGCATCCCAACCCCAACATGTACACATACATCCAAATATAAAGTACACCAGGGGCTGGCGAGATGGCTCAGTGGTCTAAAGCACCTACTTGGAACAGGCTTGGGAAAGCACAGGGACCGCGGTTCAATCCCCCAGCACCACATGCCAGCCAGCCCCGCCCCCTGTGGGCTGAGCTGGCC